AAAAAAAATAATTGATTAATTTTTCAATTCTCTTTGTAGCATTTGAGTAACTCTTTGTTAAACTGCTGAATAGTAATTCTTGTAGCATTTTTTTAATATATGTTGAAATTAGGTTTTAGTTTTTTTTCATTTTTTCATTTTTATTTTCATATCGATTACTATACAAATTAATTTACGGTTTGATTTTTTATTTAGTTTTTTTATGCACATATAATAATTCAATTTTTGCATACATATCATTCTAACTTTGTTTTGTTTATGTTTTACAGATATGAGTTACAGTAAGTTTAAAAGATATTTCGGATGATAAATCAAATGGTATGCGCCATTCTATGATTTCCTCATTTTATTTTGATTTTCATTAGTTTATTATGTATATTTTTTACTTTTCTAATCACATATTATTCCATTTGGCTGTACATGATTATAACAATTGTTGTCTTTAATACATATGTTTACATCTTATCATTGAATATTGATTTTTTTCAAATTAATTCGATATTTTATATCTTTTATGTTAACATATAACTAACTCCATCTTAATATATGGTTACATCAAATAATTATTTTTGTTAAATTTTAGTGGAAGATTCGGTATCATAAACCATGGTGATTGTTGCCAAAATTATATCCATTCTTTTAAGAGGCTAGACTGTTAAGTACTGTCCAAACCTCATCTACTAAGTTATAGTGGAAAATTAATCAATAATCGTTTTTCTTGATTTCATTCAATCTTCATGATGTAACTTTAATATTAGTTTTTTTTTTGGCTATGTTGTTTTTCATAACAACGACTCATCTTAAATTATTTTTACATGTTTTTATTAGTAAGAATTTGCATGTAGCTTTTAAAATTATGTTATACCATACTGTCATACATAATGGATTCTCAAATTCTCTGTTCTACCTCTTATTGGAACTAAATTATTTATATTTTGTCGCCATGCTTCCATATTTTTTCACTCTTTTCTATATTCTCTATTTTTTCGATTTTATAGATGGTACATCTGCTGAAATATACCGGACGATCTTAACTATTAATCTACACATAATATAACACTCGTGTATGTGTGCTTAATGATTGATTTTTTATATAGATCAATGTTTTAAAACTACCGGATGTGTTACACAAGGTCTAACATTTTATATACTATTTTCCCCTATGTTTCAATTTTTTCATTGCCATATCTTCTCCCTAATTTCTTCTATTTTTTCCCATTCTCTTTTTTCAGTTCCGTTCTCTCAAGCCCCATTTCTCTTATTTTTTAATTAGTTTTCCTTTATTTTATGAAAAAAGAAATAATAATAATAATAATAATAATAATAATAATAATAATAATAATAATAATAATAATAATAATAATAATAATAATAATAATAATAATAATAATAATAATAATAATAATAATAA